AGTTTCACCTCACCTTCAGTGGTATTTCAAGCCTGCATAGGGGCAAAAAACAGGCAAATTTCAGTTAATTAACAACATCTGTATGTTTTTCCAAAAGGAGGAATGGGCAGAACCTCTGTATCAGGTCTATGTCCTGACTGTCTTTACTATGTTTACCAAACTCTACTTGTTTCTCCAACATGTAGTTCCTCCAGCTTTTCACTTGACCAGGCAGAGCATGAAGAGGACTGGGTCGGCCTGTGCTGGCATGCTGCAGGCAGTGTTTGGTCACATCCCACCAAGGTTAATGTAACTGCTGTTTTTTGGGTGACACCTTCAGTCTGTGACAAGCCTGCGAGGCCCGAGTGCTGGTGGCATTTTTCATGGTACCCCACCGATCTACAAATGGGTCCAGTTCAGGTGCTGCTCAGTACAGTACACACCCTGAAGGCCACGATGACCTTCTTTCATGAGCAATTATTTTCATGCTTGGCATGGTGACATCACGGTGCTGTGTGGTCACTTAGCCGGTCCAGCACTCTTTGATGGACTTTCAGCAGGTAATGTTTGTGAACATACTCCTCCTATAAATGTGCTGCCCTGTGACAGACATTGACAGAATGGGATTGGTCCGATGGTGAGGGAAAACTATTCAAGGTTGTGTGTGTCTATACTCATAATTCGGGCTTCTTTGACTGTGTTTAACTTAAAAGATGCTGCAATCTGGGGCTGCAGAGCGTTTCCGTTTTGCCCTGAGCTGAAATGCGACCACAGGCTGGCGTACAGTATGTCACGTTGTGCACCGTGCTGGAGACTGACGGAGGGGCTCACCCTAGCAGATAAACCGGCTGTTGTCCTAAAAGTGCAGCACATTGCTGCATCGCCCCAGGAAAGGAAATTAGGGACAGCAAAGGACAATGGAGCTCTTAGGAAATGTTCCATTGGTGTCAGCACGTTCTCTACGCTAAACAAACAGCCATTTAATGGCTCTTTAGCTATTCATGATATGGAATTATGTTAATGCCACCGCTGGATGAAGAGTTTGAGACATTATTTGTGCAGGAGGATGTTTCCTCCTTCATTACGTGGGCTATATGCTTGAATAGCGCATGTTTGCTGAGGGAATCCAAACGTTTGATTACATTTAATTGAGAGAAATAAAGCCATGCTCCAAGCAGTTAAGTCTTTTGCATTAAAGCGTGCACGGAAATACTCAGAGTTAATCTCTGATCAAGTGGGATATTACCTCTCATGAAGAGCTTAGTAAATGCTCATTAAGGCATTACACTGTAAACGCCCGAATAATTACGAATTTCATTTCACCTCCATATAAAACAAACCAGACAATTTAACAAACAAGTGCACAGCGATAGGGCGAGCGAACTTTATAACGCTCCGAAAAAGCATGACAAATGCGTGGTGACGTTACACATGTCGTTTTTTAATCCTGAACATACTCTTCACCCTCCTGGTCATGCAGTACATATGTCAGAGATAGGGACGACGGCCTCCTGCCAATGTCTCATACCAGGCTGAATCTGTTTGAATCAGACTCACGCACGAGTGGACATTTGTGCTCACAGACTCGATCGCGCAGCGCGGCATAGCGCTCTGATTATTTTACCCTGACAATTTCCAGGCCCACATGCTGTTGCCTCTTTAGAAGCACTTATTATTGCTGATCAATGGGCGTGTGCTCGCGCCGCCTTTGCCACGATTCGGCAGGAGACCGTCAACACATTGCATAAAGACCTGACATTGCCAGTGTATGTCAATAACCCTTGACAGTGCATCACTGACACCCATGCCCACCTTGCATTTTTGCCATATGCTCTGTTCTCCCATCATTTCACTTCCAAAACAGGTGTTACTGTGTGTGTGTGCATTTGCATGTTTGTGTATTTGTCTTTGTGTGTATGCAGATGTATTAACACAACCATCACATGGCCTGAGTAGATTTTTTCACAAGTGGTCCTGTGTGTGTGTGTGTGTTGTAGGCCAGTGACAGCTGAAGAAGAGAACTGTATTTGTGGAGGAACAGCATGGCTGCAGAGAGGAGTGGAGATCCTGAGGGAGGCCTAATGGTTCCACTCCTTCCTGCACAGAGATAAAGACTCATAATAAGCGTGTATGCTCACCATCTGGCCCTGTGCATGTGGCCCTTATGGAGGCGAAAGCAGCGCAATCTGTAAACGATCAGGAGCCATGGCGCTCCCCCTAGAGAGGCCGCCATGCAATCAAGGTGACAGATGGCAGCACCACTGCTGTGGCCTCATGAAGGAGATCAAAATCACCTTCAATAAACTCTGACTGGAATGGGCACAAGCCCCTCCAAAAGTCAGTTTGTCAGTCAAACTGTGGCAGCTTGCAGAAACAGGGGTAACACACAGCGGTCCGTCCGTCCGCTGCCTGATTTCCATTTTTTACGTCTGACTGAGCCTGAACTGTGATCTTTCTCCAGTTGTCCTCTCGACTCGTGCCGGCGTGGGCGAGTTGGCTGCCAGATCTGCAAATGCTACTGGGGGGAAAATGTGAACAAGATGCTGCTAATGTGGGGCAATAAGAACTGATGGTGGTTGAGACATTAGTAAAGCCACTGGTATTGTGCTTTTAACATGACAGGACCACCATGACGCAAATTTCTGTTCATTTAATTACACTTTCACACACACACACACACACACACACATGCAAATCAGCTTTGTTGTACAGGCCACAACAACAACATGAGGTGCCAGGGTTGGATCTGGCCCATGAAGTGACTTTATCTGGTCTCCACAAGCTTCACGGGAAAACAAAACAAGCACATAAAAAATCTATTAAAGGAGCATAAGGGAAAAAAAATACCAGTAATGTTCGAAATACTGTAATAAACATTGAAAATAAAATCCATCGGGCAGTAATGCATTTTTAACCAGCTGCTGTTAAACCCCAATATAGAAAATAAGCAAGTGGGGGAGGGACAGGATCAGATCATGTTAAGCTTTGAAGGAAAATGACTCTACAAAGTAAGATTCTTAAAGGATTAAAATATTGGCATGTTGTGATGTTTCACTGTTTGCTTTATGTATTTATATTACAGTATGTGGCCCGTCCTTCATCAGTATGTAACATCCACTTACGTTAACATTTACGTGTCTTTACATTCAGCCGAGAGCTGGTTCTGAGTTTCTCTCCTGTGATGATTTTTTGTTTTACCATCTGATGGAGCAGCATGGTCCGGCCTCCGCATCCTGTCTGTATCGGAGTGTTTGTGTCCTGAGCACGGAGACAGAAATGCTTGGGAATGCTATTTCACACATCCCCTTCATCTGATGCGCAGCTTCTGTCAATGATGTGAGAAAAACAGCCTGACTCTCCAAGCTTTTTTTGCACCAGTGCAAAAGTTCAAAATTGAAACGCCATCTGTTCAATAAAACTAATCTGGGCAGGGAGAGCTGCTTCCAAAGCCCGTCTGATTGGTTGTGTGTCTTGTCTTTGCTCTTCCTGCCACAAGGTTTACGTATACGTTTGTTCACCAAGGGGAAGCTTGGTTACATTTCTTTTGTCCCAAAACAGATCAAATCGTTTTTCAACGTATAGTATATAACATCCCTGCACACCTTAGGTTGGTCCATGTTATTAATACACCTCCTGCACTTTTATTGCACATTATATATTTGAATTCCGACATTCCACCATTTACTCTTTAGTCCTAATAAAAGGAGAGGCTCTAAGTACTTTCGGGGAAAATCGATTGTCCTCTCCTGGGCTGCCGCCCTTAAGCACTCACTTAGTTAATTGCCACACTTATTTGATTAATTGGACAAGTTCCATTGTAGTCCCTCTTTGCCCTCCATGTTTTATAGAGGTGTCCTGGAGTGCCCTTAATCATCCACTTCTAAACATTTTAACCAATGTTAAATATGTGCACTTTAACTAATAATTAGATCAATTACACTAATTAGTATCATAAGTTGAATTAAAAACAGTAAAGTGGGCTTTTAGGTTTCATATCTATAGTGTGCTGGCTCTGTGACTCCGCTCTTAAATCTGTGACCAGCAAGTGTCTGGCTGTGCTGCGTGGATGTCACAGCTCTGCTCATCTCAATTAAGGTTAACATAACAGTATTGAAAAAATGTATCCCAAATTGAATTGGTGTTATTAGGGCAATTAAATAAATGTAAGGCCAGAGATGACTCACAAGGACTTTTTTGACCTTTAAGATGGACATTAACGCTGCTTCTATTGACCATGATGTTCTTCAGCTGGATCCTTAATAGTCATTACTGTTATAAAAGTTAGAGGCATTTTTTAAAATTTAATGGAGGTTGTCTAATATGGAGTAGGTCATGTAGAACTATTAACTTTATTAATATAAATGGGATTATGTACAATCATGATTAAATCACAGTTATTATGCTTTTTTACCTCGATAAATGTTTTCAGGACTTTATGTCTCAACGTTAAAGATTAATTTCTGGAATTGGACATGACACACTTATCGATTTGCCATATTTGATGCACAAATCATCTAAAAAAATAATCAGCTAAGAAGCACTCTGATATTAGTCTCATTACTTTTAACCATCCCGGTGTCGGATGGGTTATTATACCTATCTTAATTCTTTTTTCAATGCAAAAATAGCAGCCGTAAAGGGCAGGCATCGGACAGTCATCCCTTGATTGCTTCCAACTCAGATTCCACTCAGATATTGTGCAGCATTAAACTAAAAAAAATCATAATATTATTCATTAGATTCGTTTTACAGGTAATATTCCCATCTTTTGTGTATAAAAATAGTAAATACCGTATTAAACGACTTACTCATAATTCAATAATAGTTATAATAATTATAATGAAATATTTCTATTATATATAATATAATATATATTCATTATAATATTTATAATTATTAATATTATTATATTTAATTTATAGAGTACAGCGATTACGGATTAATGGAATGAATCAGTTTCTGTGGAATTTTCCTCTGTACCTTTAAGAGAGCACAGGTGGGCGTGGCTTGTCGTTGTCATTCTTCGTCACAGGTGCGTCCTGGATGTATGGAGATTCCAAAGTTTGTTTCTGTTCCTGGTGGAAAACGTTTGTAGTTGACAAACAGGTACGTTGTTGCTGTCACCTAAAGGTTATTTATAGTAATGAATGAATGTAGGTAAAAACACACAATGAACCTGCAGTAAAACTGCTTAAAAGACAAGCCACACATTAAATGTCAGCACATATAACCGTTAAGGCTAGACGTTTGTATTTTATTAATATTTGCAATAGTTTAAGCCAAATTTAATTGTATTGACCAAAACATTTTATTGAAATGGTCAATTAATATTTGTATTTAAACAATATTAAGTGTATGGGCTTTAATTTGCTGAAACTTTAATTAAAAAGATGAAATGTTGTGATAATAAGTTCTGTGGCACATAAAAAAAAAAAGAAAATCAGGATTGGGAATATTTCCTTATTATTTGTACATGTATTAATTTTCTTATATTACACTTAAGTTTCTTTTAAATTCCTTTGAAATTTTTCAGCTTTGGGAAAGAAAAATGGCATTTATTTTTACACATTTGAATGATTCAAATCATACAACAATTAATATTGTAACATCAGTTGGATCAGAACTACACATCCATTTTATTTTAGAAATTTCAGATATGACTTTTCAATATTTTTTTTTAATGTTGAACAGTCTGAACAGTCACAGAGGAGTTACAGTAGGGGAGCGAGTGAGGGGGCGGCTACACAGAAGGCTTTACTGCCCCGGGTTTGGTCGGTGGTCTGGTGTAGTAAAGAACGGAGGTTGGCATCAGAGGAGCAGAGGTAGCGAGGAGGACTGAAGAACTAGAGGAGACTGTAGACGTGGGCAGGGCCCTGATCGTTCAGGACATTGTGTGGGAGGGCCAGGAGTTTGAACTGATGTATGCTGGTATGCTGAGCCAGTGGAGGTTCTGGAGGACAGGAGTGACGTGGTGGAGAGAGTGGGCGTAGATGAACAGAGATCTGGATGTACATACGTTTGGATGACATGTTCTTTTATTTGCCACCTTCAGCTGGTTACAATTATAAATAGTAATAAAAAAACAAAACAAATAACACCCAAACAGATGCCTTCATTAAAACTTTTTCGGATGAGACTTGAGGAATCTTCTCGGAAGGTCAGCACGGTCAATCCAAGCAGTTTTGGGTTTGATGTAATTGAATTAAATCACACTGATTCATGTAGAAGCTCACACAGACCCTATTGATTTGTCAGATAAGGATTTTAATTTGAGGATCACCTGATGGATGCTGGTAATTTATGCTGATTAGAAATAAAACATCATATTTTCCTTTAGCCTCCCCCCACCCATCTGAAGGGGGAAGATTTTTCCAGAAGGGTATAAGGACAGCGGTTGATTAGTTGTAATGTGCCGGCAGTAGCCCACAGGCTTAGATTTATGTCCTCCATTTGAACTGTGTCTGCGCGTGCTGTATACATCAGGTTTGTTAATGAAATTTGTCGCCAGAAGGGAGTCGGTGACTGCGGTTGTTCAGCGCCTTGACACGTAATCCTGTGAAATCTAACCTTTTACACTTCAAGTCAGCAATACATTCATTGTGATGTTATTATTCCCATAATATATCTATATATAAAAAAATATAAAATAATATATAAATGATATATATATAAATATATACTGGCATTACAAATCTTATATTTGTCATATTATTTCAGACCTGTTCACCTAGTATTCCTGCAAGGCTTCACTTAGTGCTACAGATTGCTCTCGGTGTTTGACATTATTGCTCTCTGCTGCCTTGAAAAGTGCCTTGACTTCTGTGAGTGTCACTTCTGGCATGTCGGCATGCAGCGGCACTACGAAAGCTGCTGTGTGTGAATAAAACTTTTGCAGTAACATGTGGTGTTGTGCTTGCTGCTGTGGTCTCCAAACTGTCAGAGAGCGTTGGACTGACAAGTGTCAGGGTTGTCAGAGTTTCCAGGCTGCTGTTGGTGCGATGTGCACGGACAAAGTAGAACGTTGTGATGGAGTACAGGGTCAGAGGACGCCACTGACGTCCAGTCGTGACATGCAACTACATCTATCTGTTGTCTATTAGCATCAGTAGAAATGACTGACAAAGATGCTGCTCAGCTAAAGACAGGTCCACATCAGGACGTGGTGTGTGTATGTGTGTGCGCGTCTTGTTATTGAACGTGTTTGAATGACTAATGCAAATGTAGCACATTAGTAATGACAGCCCTCCTGCTCTGAGGTCTTGCTTTCTTGCATTGATACTGCTTCTTGCACTGTATTAGGAACGGCTACAATTTTGTTGTACTGAAAGTATAATGGCAATAAGGGCATTCTTCTTCTCCTTCTTAGATGTCAGCACATCCTCACAGGGAGAACATCGGACTCAGATTCACACCTTGCAGTGCGAACACAAGAGCGGTACAGCTGAGGCTGCTGCCTCCCCGCTGCCCTCCCTCTCTCCCCCGGACACTCACGACTGACTCAACTCTGGCCATCAACTGCTGACCGCTTTCCAAAAACTTGATTTCACAAATGGAGAAACAGCATCTGCTTTCCTACAGCATAACATATGGCGGATATAACTGCTCATAAGAACCGAAGCAGGTACGCTGTGTAGGGGGCTGGCCCTCAGGGGACCTTAAACAGAGGGCCCTGACCCTGGGGACTTTGCTGGGCCACTCTGCAGTGAGGACCATGCTGTCCTGCAGCCAGATGAACCTGCATTTGAAATGAGGCCAGAGAGCAGGGACCGTGACTGTCAAATACAGGGCAGAACAAGTGGCAGGAAATGAGAGATTATTCTCTGTAAAATGCAGATTATTTTCTTTAATCCAGCAGGATTAGATCTAGTGTTTGACCATGAACAGGAACAGTTGGCTATTTTGAATGTTTTCTGAATATTTGGAACCGTTGCTGTAATAGTGATGTACCACATTTCTGTACATATTCTTATATTTAGCTTTAGGAGATTCACACATGTAGGAGAAAATGCGTGATTGCGAAGTTTTTATCACACCTAGGCCACACTAGATCAGTCTGTGTGCTGATGTCGTCACAAAGATGAACGTCTTAAGGTGTTGCTTTAATTTTAGCATATGCTGTATACATTTAAGTTTGAATGTGTTTTCCACTGCTGCATGATGTCGCATAAAATAGACACTCATATACATACTCACTTATTAAGATTATTCTTATTGCCTTTTTACTTATGACTATATCTGACTGTGGCTCTGACCCTTTGTACAAACAAATATATATATATTTGTGTATATTTAGGGTTAACACACTTCTGTTATACACAATTTAAAATGTTATTTCACAACAAATCCTTGTGGTTCATTACAGCAGCAACTTTTTTGTGTGAACTGTTCCCCTATTTGAATAAACCAACAGATGTACATGTGTTCACACAGACAGACACACAAGAATTAGCGATCAGCTATCAGTAGGTTGCATCATTACCAATAATGGCCTGTAGGCAGCCTAGAATAGAATGATGCTGTAATGATTGCTAATTGCCTTGTTAGTATGAAAACAAAGCCGTGTTTTTTTATGCTGAAGGGCTAAATTACCAGGAAACAAACAAGTGGATTGGAACATGTGAATAAGGATGTTTTTACATGAGCATCTGTGGATACAGCTGCCACCGACTCTGACCATCCTGTATTCTCCATTCTTTTTTTTCTCTCCCTCTTTCAGGCTCAGACAAACAAAGCCAAGCAAGACACACGCCTGGTGTTCCTGCCTGTTTTTTGGGGTGAGTGTTTTAAACTACATCCACAGTTGTTTATGTCACAAATTATACCATTTAGCTCAAATGAAGGTCACACACATCTGTGTTTTCATTTATGTCTGCTTTCCTGGTCAGTTTTACATTTACTCTCAGATGACCTTAAATTATCAGTAGTTTAACTGACAGTTTAACAACATGACTACCATGTGAAAACATCAACCTCCTCTAGCACCTCTGATATCAGTAGCTTTTAACAACATGACTACCAAAACATCAACCTCCTCTAGCACCTCTGCAGTGAGTGAGATGACTGAGCTAAAACTATTGGATATTTATGTGCAAATTGTTTGTTATTTCTGAAAAACTTTAGTTATTTAAACAATTTCAGGTTTGTTGTCCTGTTTGAATCAGCATGTCTTACATGTTATAAACTCTGACCCCAGTGTACATTCTAATTTAAATGATCTGTTAACTGGTTTATATCCTGGTAATGAGATTAATAATTTGATCTCTGCCGGCTCTTGTTTCTGTGATGTAAACATTTTCATTAACCTGTTCAGCTGATAGTGAAACACAAGCGTACACTCTCTTCATTTTATTCCCACTCCCTGTATCTCTCTCTCTTCATCTCCTAAGAACTTTGTTTACCTTTGTTGCCACCTGCCGCTACAGGAGCTCAAATGAGATTCAGGTTCCTTTTTAGTGCCAATCAGCTTCTCCTATCAGGCTAAATGCTCTCTGGAGACGGGGCTTATTACATGACATGATCCTTTGAGTAGATAAATGGCGGTCCATGTCATGAGCCGGACCCCACTGGTGAGGGGAAATGTGTAGCGATGATGAGACACAGCGCAGGACCCAGGAGACTGTGGGATCCCACAGCCTTATTGACGTTTTAATCAAAAACAGTTAGCTCTGAATCAGGCAGCGACTCACAGAGGCTTTATATCAGTGTCTGGTGACAATATGCAAGGATTGAAATGGAGACCTTGCTGACATATAATTTACCTGCTGTCATTTTGAATAGCCATGTTGTATTAAATACACACACAACCACACACACACAACTCTTACCTACACTGTCTTCTGCTCTAGTCTATGGTCCATGTGTGTTTGAGAGCATTGTTAAGGTTTTTGTAGATTCTTTAAGAAGTAAAGAGTGTCTGCTAGACTTAGTGTCCGTCTTTAAAGACAATACCATTTGACTTCAGCACAAGTGTTGTTGAGTTAGGCTGCAGACAGGTGCTGCATTTGATATTTATCCAAAGACAGTCTATGCATCACTACTATGCTGGGATTGTTTACTTGACCATACCCACTGTATGTAAGCCAATCAGGTGGCCTGAAGTCTGAACCCTTTCTTGCTGTTAAGCTTTTTAACACTTTAAATATCTTGTTATATAAATGTTGTTTAATATGATTGGATGAATGAAGTGATTGACACAAAGGTAACTAAAGAAATTACTCCTTGGATGCTAGCAAAGTACAAGAGATAGCGAACCAGTGTCCCTGCAGTGCCCCTGTTGGCAGTACCAGTACTGCAAGTTCTTTTGACTGCCTATGCTATAGTTTATATATATATATGTATGTGCATGTATGGGATCCTGTATAATTCATGTGTATTGTGACTCTATATGTCACTTTGCAGTATGAAATATGTATCATAGCATCCTGGCATCCCTGAGCGGAGAGCAGTGGTAGTGTGTTTGAGGTTACGTCAGTTTAACCTCTGCCACATCTGATTTCACCTTCCAGACTACAATGTTTAGAGAAGGTTACACACCAGGAATCTGAAACATTAGCATTTTTCTAGTAAATTATTCATTCAGCACGCTTTTATGAGAGATGAGAACACAGCGAACAATTTCCACACTCAGATCCACGTTAGTGTTTAATACACTCCACTGGATTTGAAACGACAATGCCACAGAGTCTTTGACAAACACAACAACATTCTGTAAGTACTGATCATTTTGTGCAGTTAATCCCAAACTTTTTCAGTGACAATCAAAGATGACATGAAAACTAATCATAAATCACCAAATAATAATAGCAGCAGGTAGAGAGAGGCTGTGCTCTGCTCCCTGACTGGTCATAAGTTGATCATCTTAAGCTGTGAGCCGCAGGTAGATGATGACAGCTGCTTAATTTGGTTTGGTCACCAGGGTGACTTAATCCTGTAACAGGCCCCAGTGATGGGGGCCACACAGACGGCTGAGAGATGGAACGGCTCTCTGGTTGCCCGTTTACAGATGCAGCAATAGAATCCAAGGTCACTTTAATTAAGTGCCAAATTACAATTTAAACGATAATACTAATCACTCACTTTTGGTAGCAAGAAGCTACTGGCTGTCATGATTATTTAAGACTGCGAGGGAAAATGGACATTTCCATGTCTGCCGCTCAGTGGGGTCTGAGTCTGTGCAGGGCACTTTTCATTTTCTCTGCAGGCTGCCACTTTCTCAGAGTAAGAACAGGGTGACCTCAATGTTTTGTGTTTTTTTTTCATTCTTTGCTTAACTCTTTCCTCCATCATGCTGTCATTTTTGTTGTGGTAAATTTTCCTCGTCCACAGAATCGCTCACCTTTTTGTTTTGTTCTTTTGACTGAAGTATTTTAAGTACCACTGAGACCACACCGTCTTTGTGCATCTCCTCAAGTGTGGCTACAGAGACTTGAGACAAATTGATGGACAACCTTTGATTAAAGCACCAGAATTTAAAGTTTGAAAAACAACTGAAGTTTTTTCCCTGAAGGTCAAAATTAAATTTGTGCTGCACTCATCTCTGTACTTTAATTTGTTTGCAGTAAATTTGAATTTCTTAGACACCAGAAGGGTTGTCTGTCAATTTCTATAAAAGAAACATTCTTTGTAGGACAAATGTGTTCCTGTGTATATGTTTGTGTTGGTGTAAGGTACCAGGTTCATGCTGTTGGATGAATAGTGAATAGTTAGATACTCTTTTTGGTTCTTACAGTTGTAAATCTGACTCCAGATTCAGTCAGTGCCTCACCAGCTATGGACCTCACCACACGTCACTGTTCTGTAGTGACCCCTGGCTGAACATCTGAAGGTCATTGCCCCCGAACAAGTAATTTTTATCAAGATAACATATCATATTTGAAATACTACTTATTATCTTTAATGAATTTTATAAATTAGGTACTTCTTCCACAGATACCAATTTCATTAATTGAACACTAAAATCCAAATGAATCACATTCTGTCTGTAAACCAAATATATTTGCAAAAGTAAAGTAGTGTATTTAATTATAGGAAATAAAAAAAAGTAAGAAAGATGTTGTCTTCTTAACCTTTTTCATTTGTGGACTGCCATGGAGTCCAGTAGGACACTGTAGAGATTAGGTGAGTTCCAGACCATGGGATATTTATTCAAGCCAACCTCCAACCCATTACAGTTACTGCCCATCTGCCACTGCTGCCACTCGGAGCCCTCCTAAAGGTTACTCATTTACATATGTGGGGGGAAAAGCGTCGCCTGATTACAGGGCTTCAATCAATCAATGCTTCATGATGAGTCCAATGTAAAAACCTCACAGTTGGTTTGATCTCTGCCTTCTTGCCTCGTTGCCACTTTTCAAACGAGGTCCTGGAATGCTGTGACAACTTACCGAAAAGTGGTGAATGGAAAAATTCATAATTTCTCGGATAAATTATGACAGGCTGCCTGCAATTGATTTATTATTGGGATCGTTAGCCATATGGCACAGACCGCTCCCCCCCTTCTAATGCTCAAAAATCTGTGATTGCAGGCCTAGGTCAGTGCAACCTTTACCACTGCTGAAATGAATCTCCGAAATGAAGGACAACAGAGAAATTTACCAAAGCTGCATTCACGATAAACAATGGAGGACGACCAGCCATCAGGCGCCGCATTAAAACCAGTAACTGATTTTAATGCAGCAGCAGATGGGACTGTTAGGAAAGAGTTTATTTTAAACCGTCATTAATGTGATTTAAGAACTTTTTTCTAACTTTAAATATTGCCCCAAGGTCCAATTGGTTGATAATTTGGTCAAACCATCAGCTGCCGTCATCGAAAATAGGCTGTTTAAGCAGAAGTCTGAGGACGGAATGATGAAAACCGTTGGAATGACAGACATTTTTTATGTTCCACTTGTACAATATGTGACATAGTTACATGAAACCTTAATGAATGTGACTAATGGGTACTGATTGAACTGTCATTGTCCATAGCTGTAAGGAAAGTCCATGGCCCTTGATTCATATTAAACAACAGAACTGTTCCTTTTTGTGATTACTTTCATGTGACCTGCCACTATTTACACCAACACCGCCGTCTTATTTTAATAATCTGATTTTTATATTCGCTCAGGGCAACGTCGTGCGAGAGTGTAATCTCCGACACTGCTTCCTGACACAAACTTAATGTGTCATGGTGATTGGCGTGGCGGAGATGACATGACAGAGCTGGTTTTGGGGGACTGACAGATAGTTGGCAGGTTAAGGCTCCCCCGTTGGGTGCTGCGCGGCCTCGGGACGGTCACCTGTCAACTCAGGTGAAGGCTCGTCATTTCTGATGGCTGGGAGCAGCAGAGTAGATATGATGGGATGAGTGGACTGACACAGATGTAGTGCAGGACTGCCTTTGTTTGTGTGAAAAGATGTGGACCTGGCTTTAGTCGGGGGGGTATTGTTTTATAGTAATCATATAATAATTACGTTTTATAATAATATGCATGTTAAGAAATTTCAATTAATCTGAATAACATTTTCATTTTTATAACTTTTTTTTTTTACCAACACAGGACATAACATTTCTGGCTAGTTACAGTTATTTTAAAAAATGGCAACATTTAGTAACATTTTTCAACATTTCTACTCTCTCCTTAAACATAGTTTGCATATATTCTTGTGTAATCTGATTTCTCTGATCACTTTTGACAGTTTCAGTTTTTCAAATGCTGTGCTAAAGAGCACACAAACAATGTGTTTCAAAGACAGTAACAGTAACAGCCTTTATGACTGAGGAGAGTTTGAG